AGACAGGGTCTCACTATGTAATTGAGACTGACCTGGAACTCACTATGTAGCCCAGGCTGGTCTTGAACTCACAGCATCCTCCTGCCTCAGCCTCCCGAGTGCTGGGGTTACAGGCGTGTGCCACCACACCCAGCTCATCACACATTTTTAACTTGACTTAATTATAGGTTCACAGGAATAGGAAGGAGAGGGCCCAGGTATCCATCACCCAGCTTCTCCTAGTAGTGACATCTGGCATAACTGCACTACATTATCAAAACTAAAAAGAAGTCTTGGCACAGTGCAATTAATAAGTCTACAAACCTCACTCAGATTTTATATTTGTATGTACCTTTTAGAGGGGCATGTCTTTGTGTATAACTCTATGGAATTTGATCACACATATAACCATCCCCACATTAAGGTATAAAACTTTTTTCCACCTCTGTGCCATTCCTTATACCCTCTTTATTCTCTTCCCTAACCTATGAAAACCAGTGATTTTTTTCTCCATCTCTATACTTTGTTTTTTCTAGAATGTTATTTATAGACCAGGTACAGTCTCATGTGCCTACTGTCCAGCTGGCTACTCAGGAGACTGAGACAGGGGGATTATAAGTTCAATGCCTGCCTAGATCATGTAAGATGCTCTCTCAGGATGAAAAATAAAAAAGGATGGTCTGGGGATGTAGCTGCAAATACCCACCACTACTATTAAAAAAAGAGCATATATTATATGACCTTTTAAAATATTTTAAAATTTAGAATAATGCCCTTAAAGTTTATCCAAGTTGTTGCACATATCATTAGTTCCTTTTGTTTCATTTTGTTTTTTTGCTGAGTACTTCTGTGTTGTAAGGATGTACTAGTTTGTCATTAGGTCAGTCTTTACTCATATTGGGTGAACGGTCTTTACTCATATTGGGGAGGGCTGGGTAAACAAGAAAAAAAAAACCAACTAGACACTTAGTCCCCTAGATCCACACAGTGAGCTGTGAGAGTCTTTGTCTCTTGTCACATACTGATAAGATTTGATCTTATTTCCTGAGCATTACTGATATTGCTAGCTGCTTACACATCTAACTTTAGTTCCTTAAAGCCTCCACAAGTTCCAGGGAATGGTTTTTAACCTAACAAAAGTACAATGTGCACCTATGGGCCTCAAGCTCCTGCTGCCTTGCACTTCCTCACAAAACCTTCTTGATGATCCTCTGCCACTTCAGCTGAGCTGATAAGCTTGTCACCTGCTCCATCCTGCTATGGTGTCTCAGGCCAGAGCCAAGTGTAACACCTCAGGGCCAAGGTAGTTGTAGTCCTGAAGATAACAAGGCCTAGGGATCAGGAAACTGACTTTAGATTCAGTCTCCTGGATCTCCCAAAGCTCCTCGTCAAGCCAACTACTCTCCTCCTACTTGGGGGGCTGATAGGAGGGGCTCCACAGCATCTAGCATCTACTTGTCCCTGATCCTGTGGCCTACACAACCAGTTAACATTTATTAGGGAATGCCTAGTGAGCACAGAAATGGATGGCCCAATTATAAAGACTGTAGAATTGAATCCGGGCATGCAGAGAATTCATCCTATGAGCCATACAGTGCAGGAGGTCAGAGTTTCTGGGGAGACCTTTACCCAAGCAGGTAGTCAGGGCAGGGAGGGACAAGTGGGAATGGACAGGGAAAGACATTTTGGTGGTGAGGCTGGGAAGAATGGGACAGGGATTTTGTATCAGGCACAGGTCAGTGAGAGCCAAGAAGCAAAGAGGAGAACACAGCACATATGTGTTAGGGATGGGGCAGAGCTAGAATGGGTTGGGGGAAGGTAGGCAAGGTTTTGGGAAGGGGGAACAGAGCTCTGGGAAAGGGAAGAAAAAGTTGGTTGGGTTGGAGGGAGTCACCTGGTATATGGTAACTGATGGCCCTCATTTCTTCCCAGCTCCTCAAGCTGGGAACCGGCCTCCTGGAAAGTGGGCGCCATTACCTTGCTGCCAGCCGCTCATTCATTGCTGGCATTTATGATCTGGCTCACCTGGGTCCACCAGAGCCCATGATGGTGGTATGTGGAGGGTCTGGACCAGAGTATGCTGAGGGCTGGGGTGAAGGGATGCTATGGAAGAGAATCATGGCTGGAGCTGCATCCAAGACACCTGTAGCAGGTGGGGCCTAGAGTTGGGAGTGCCCTGCCACCCCACACCTGGTACTATTCTCTCTTTGCCTCCTCTTGCCTAGGAGTGTTTGGACAAATTCACTGTAAGCCTGAATCACAAGCTGGACAGCCACTTGGTGAGTGGGAGCAGTTAAGTTGAGGGCAGGGGAGATGACAGGATTTTCTGTGGTCCTGACCCCCACCTGCCACTTCTGCTTCCTTTAGGAACTTCTTGATGCCACTCAGCACACACTGCAGCAGCAAATCCAGACCCTGGTTAAGGAGTGAGACAGGAGGGAAGGGAGCCTTAATTCCCAGAAACCAGGCCTCCATCCCCCTTCCTATTACCACATGGGCCTCCCTGATTGAAGGAGTTGTGAGGTTGAGGGTTTCTGGTGGTCTGACTTCTAATCTTCTACCCCCGGAATCCCTGTCCATGAGCTGACTGAAGGATGTGGGTGGGCCTTATCCTGGGAAGTCCCAGATGGGTCTGGGGGGTGTATCTGTGATTCTGTGTTATCTCCCCACTCCCAGAGGTCTCCGAGGTTTCCGAGAGGCTCGCCGGGATTTCTGGAGGGGGGCTGAGAGCCTGGAGGCTGCTCTTATCCACAATGCAGAAGTTCCCAGACGCCGCACTCAAGAGGCAGAGGAGGCTGGAGCTGCTCTGAGGATTGCTCGAGCTGGATACCGAGGACGGGCATTGGATTATGCCCTGCAGGTGCCTGCCTCAGCCTCTCCTGTAGGGGTACCAAGGCCTCAGGTGTCAACTTGAAGCTGGGAAGATTGCAGTACACAGTGGGAAGGAGGCACAATGATTTCAAGACTGACCTAAAGTCTTCTTGGGTCTTCAGATCAATGTGATAGAAGACAAGAGGAAGTTTGACATCATGGAGTTTGTGAGTTGGGGTGAGGGCAAGGGTAAGATGGAAAGGAGCCTGCTGACAGGGCAGGAGGGGAGCGGGAGAGAGGGGTCTTTCCTCAGCTCTGCCACTTTCCCACCTCGTCCCCCAGGTGCTGCGTTTGGTGGAAGCCCAGACTGTCTATTTCCAGCAGGGCCATGAGGAGTTGAGCCGCCTGGCCCAGTATCGGAAGGAGCTGGGTGCCCAGGTAGGACCCTAAGGAATAGGCATGTGGTGGAAGGGAGTTAGGGGGCTCTGAGATGACTCTCCTGGCCTGGCTGGGGAAGGATTGAACCTCTGACACACCCCTCCTCTGCCCAGTTGCACAAGCTGGTCTTGAATTCAGCACGAGAGAAGAGGGACATGGAACAGAGACACGTGCTGCTGAAACAGAAGGTGAAAGTTGGGACCGTGGGCAGGAGGCAGACAGGCCTACAGTCTTGGTCTCTGCCCATCTCGGTTGTCCTTTGACCCTCTTGTGTCCCCAGGAGCTGGGTGGGGAGGAGCCAGAGCCAAGCCTAAAGGGGGGACCTGGTGGCCTGGTCATGGAAGGACATCTATTCAAACGAGCCAGCAATGCCTTTAAGACTTGGAGCAGGTGAGGAGAGGACACGCCAATGAGCTAAACCCATCCAATTGTTTTTTTTCTTATTAGTGGTTATAGTGTGCTAAGAAGCAGCAAGAAAAAGCAGACAAAACCCTCTGCTTTATAGAGAAAAGCAGCAAAGACAGTCAATAGCATAAGAACCAAGTAGGTTGTTAGTTGTGGTGGTGCACACCTGTAATCACAGTACTTGAGAAGCGGAGGCAGGAATATCGCCAGGAGTTCAAGGCCCGCCTGGGGTACGTAGTAAGTGCAAGTCTAACCTGAAGCCTAAATTACATAGTGAGACCTTGTCCCCACCCGCCCCCAAAAAGTTAGGAAGTAATTGGGCCATAGGAGAAAAAGAATAAAGGGATGTGGTAAATAGTGATTGATTAAAAGATTTTAATCTTTTTTATTTTTTGTGGTACTGGGGAGTGAACCTAGGCATGTTACACACATGCTCCACCACTGAGTTGCATCCCAGTCCTTTCTTATTTTTTATGTTGATACAAGGTCTCACTAAGTTGCCCAGGTTGGGCCTGAATTTGTGATTCTCCTGCCTCAGCCTGCTGGAGTGCTAGGATTATAGATCTTCACCACCAGGCCTGGCTTGGGGTTTGCAATTTTAAATAATGGGTCAGAGTAGGCCTCATGAAAAGGTTACTTTTGAAATCAAAATTTCAATGCCATCTAGAGGAAGAATATTCTAGGGAGAAGGAAGAGTCAGGGCTAAGGCCCTGAGATCCCTGTATGTGAAGAACAGTGAGGAGACTGTGGACCTGGACAGAGCTAGGCGGGAGGAGGAAGTAGGAACTAATGGAAGTGTGAGTTGTTCCAGGGGCTTGTAGACCTTCTAGGCTTTTGTAGGGCCTTGGGGTATACTCTGGAGGAAGTGGGAAACCCCTCTAGCCTTTGGAACAGGATGGTGACATGCCTTAACATGACTTCTTCCCTTCTAGAGATGCTGCCAGCTCGTATGGGACCTTGTGCAAATCAGAAAGCAGTGTCCCGTCTCAGAGTCCCATCTCTTTGAAAAATTATAGTTATAGTACTGACTGAAATCCAAATCTCCTCTGAGAACACCTCACAGACACACTCAGAAATTGTTTCCCAGCTCTCTAGGCATCCCTTAGCCCAGTCATGATGACACATAACCTAAACCTATACAGCTACTTAGCACTACTGTCTCCTTAAACACTCGCTATAAAAAGAAAAAAATTGTAACAATAAACTTTTTTTTTTTTTTTTTTTTAGACAAGGTTTTGCTAGGTAGTCCAGGCTGGCCTTGAACTTACCATGTAGACCAGGCTGGCCTTGAACTTGTAACAGTCCTCCTACCTCATCCTTCCGAGGGCTGGGATTACAAGTGTGCACCACCATGCCCAGTTTGTTTAAAAAAACAAACAAACACCAGGACAAAACAGAAAGTACTGCCACTTGCTAGAAATTTGTCTTTGTAAATATATCAAATCTGAATTGTTCAAGGTGTGAACAACCTTTACATGTCCCAACTATCTACCCCTTCTTTGAGATGTCTCATGGAACAGTCAGCCCAGGTCTTCCTTCTCAGCAAGATTCTTATGGGACAAAGGGCACAGCCTTTCTTCTGTCCCTTCTGAAGCCTCATTCCAGGGCTGCCCATGTTCATAACTAGTTCCACCTCTTTCAGACGCTGGTTCACCATCCAGAGCAACCAACTGGTTTACCAGAAGAAGTACAAGGTGGGTAACCAGGTCTCAGATGCCTGGGCTCTAGGCAGACCGAGCCCTCACCTGTGGCTAAACATCAGCCCCCTTATTGCCATCTCCTGCCAGGACCCTGTAACTGTGGTGGTGGATGACCTTCGCCTCTGCACAGTGAAGCTCTGCCCTGACTCCGAAAGGCGGTTCTGCTTTGAGGTGGTGTCCACCAGCAAGTGAGTACAGACCCCAGGGCAATACTCTGTTTACATACTTAGCAACTAGTAAGGCAGGACAGCTATAACACAAGACCCCTATGCAGCTCCAAGCCTTAACCTTTTGGTGGCTGGATTAGAGGCTAGGAAACTACCTGGGAGGAGAGGACAGTATGATGGGGGGTATTTAGAAGGATATTACCAACTATTTCAAAAGTATAGGTTCTCCTGTACTTGTGATGGTTGAAAATATGCTGTTGAAAATGCTTTTTTTTTTTTTTTGAGACAGGGTCTCACTATGTTGTTCAGGCTGGGCTTGCACTCACTATGTAGCATAGGCTGGCCTGAAACTCACAGGAATCTTCCTGCCTCAGCCTCCAGAGTGCTGGGATTACAAGTGTGCACTACCACACCCAGCAAAAATGCATTTAATATACCTAGTCTACCAAACATCATAGCTTAGCCTAACCCACTTTAAATGTACTCAGAACACTTATGTTGGCCTATAGTTGAGTAGGATATAACAAAGTATTGAATATCTCACATTTTATTGAACACTGTACTGAAAATGAAAATCAGAATGGTTGTATGGGTTCTACATCATCATAAAGTCAAAAGATCATAAGTCAAGAACCACCTGTATTTCAGTACAGCTGGAACCAGTTGAATACCAGCTAAATGTCAGTCTGTCCACCCTGTGGCATGGATCACCAGGCCCTCCTCTGTCACCGTCACTCCCGATTCAGGTCCTGCCTCCTCCAGGCTGACTCTGAGCGCCTCCTGCAGCTGTGGATCAGTGCTGTGCAGAGCAGCATCGCCTCAGCCTTCAGCCAAGCTCCTCTTGATGACAGCCCCAGAGGCCCTGGACAGGTACATCAACCTGGGACTGCAGGACCAGGCTGCCCTGGGAGATGGGGCTGTCCTTACTCTAGGTCCCTGGTCATCCTCTCTTCCTCTGTCTCCCTCAGGGTTCAGGAAAGATGGCCCTGGGCTCTGCTGCTACCCTGGGTTGTGGAGGCACAGCCAGGGGAAGGGAGCCTGGGGGAGTCGGGCATGTTGCAGCCCAGGTGCAGAGTGTGGATGGCAATGCCCAGTGCTGCGACTGCCGAGAGCCAGCCCCAGAGTGGGCCAGCATCAACCTTGGTGTTACCCTCTGCATTCAGTGCTCCGGCATTCACAGGTCATTCCCCAAAGCCCTAAGCATGAACTCTGCTCCTGTCTATGGTGTGGTTCCCTGCCTGTCACACAGAACCCTCTCCTCCATCCTGCCCTGGCTTCATCTCTCAGATTCTGCCTCTGTCACCAGGCTGAGCCTGGGACACAAAGTGTCCTGTTCTACCCAGGCTTTGGGGACTTCTATAGGAATTTTTTGGTTTGGTTGGAGGAAGTGTGGATAAATGCTGCTGAGAGTAGGGAGCTAACCACAGTGACGGAGAAGAGGCGATAAAGTCTTAGCAACCCTGTTATGCTCTCACCCTTGGTCAGTCTGATGCAAGGAGGGAAGGGGAGTGGCACGTAAAGAACTGACAAGACCAATGTGCCATTAGAGAAAGCAGAGTCCTGGAGAGAATGAAGGTCCCAATGAAACATGGGTAGAAGGAATGGTGAAGGGGCAGGAACCCCCTAGAACCAGGTCAGGGCTACATGGGCCAGCTGCCTGCCTTCTGGCCCAGCTCTACTGCACAGCTCCCCACAGGCCTTGCCCCAAAGTCTTTCTAGGAGCAGTAGCAGCCTCCCTAGGCCAGTGTCCACAGCAGGCATGACTCCCACTCTGGCCCTCCAGGAGCCTGGGTGTTCATTTCTCCAAAGTCCGATCCCTGACCCTTGACTCTTGGGAGCCAGAACTAGTGAAGGTAATGTGGGGTATTGTGAAGACTTTGGGTGGGATGAAAGGACTGAGGAGCCCTTGGGGCACAGATACTCACTCTACTTCTTCTGTCTTTCTGCCTCTGTCTGGGCCTCTTCAAGCTTATGTGTGAACTGGGAAACGTCATCATCAACCAGATCTATGAAGCCCGTGTGGAGGCCATGGCTGTGAAGAAGCCAGGGCCCAGATGTTCCAGGTGAGGTGAGGGTAGAGGTGTCTGGGGATCTCCTCCAGGAGGGACCTGAGATGGCAAAAGGGAAGAGTGTCTCCTTGTCTCTTCTCCTCCAGGCAGGAAAAGGAGGCCTGGATTCATGCCAAATACGTGGAGAAGAAGTTTTTGACCAAGCTTCCTGAGATTCGAGGGCAAAGAGGTAGCAGGGGGCCCCCAAGAGGGCAGCCGCCTATACCCCCAAAGCCTTCCATCAAGCCCCGGCCAGGGAGCATCAGATCCAAGCCAGGTATAGGATTGCTCGGCTCTTCAGTGAGCACCTGCTGTTTGCTCAGTACTGTGTTAGGCCCTGTTGAGAGGCAGACTGTGAGGCCCAGGCCTTCCCCTGGGGAATGTTGGAGCGACTGGACTACAGTTTCAGGGGGATATGGTGGCTCTAAGCATGGGAAGGAGCATGGGGTGAGGAAGTAGGCAGGGTGGGATGCATAAGGATACATGAGAAGGTGCAGGAGTGGGGAAGTTTGGGATTTCAAGGCCTGGGAAGGAGGGTGTGACCTTGGCTGGAGGTGCAGGAGGCTATCAGAGTCAGCTCACCTCTGATATTCAGCCAGTCAGAGTATTTCAAAAGGATGGGATGCATAATGGTGTCTGTCCTCCACACCCCAGGGCCCCCCCCCACGTACATACTCACACGTACACCACTCCCATTTTTCACCACAGTAATGAGTCATGAATGTTTCCCACAATTTAATAGTAACTTATCTTATAGCAGCAGCAGGGGCCTGTGCTGAGTGTTTTCCTCTCACTCAGCACTGATTCTGCTTAATAGTACCAAATCCCCTTAACAGAACCCACTTCTGATGATCTGGGGAGTCTGCATTCTGGGGCCCTCCTGTTTCGAGCCGCTGGACACCCTCCATCTCTTCCCACCATGGCCGATGCCCTTGCCCATGGAGCTGATGTCAACTGGGTCAATGGGGGTCAAGAGAATGCCACACCGCTGATCCAGGCCACAGCTGCTGTGAGAATTATGCTCACCTCCCCATCCTACCCTTAGGCTCCTGCTGATTCTTCTTGATTTGGGATCCAGCCCTTCTCCCACTCCTCCCACTATTTTTAGGGGTCCCACTTCATGGAAAAATGAGCAATATGGACTGATTGCTAAGGGTATGATTTAGAAGCAGAAATCTGAGTTTGAACCCAGGCTCTTATCACTTAAAAGGAGACTTCTGAACAAGTTATTATTGTTGCCCTGCCTCAGCCTTCTCATCTCTAAAATAGGGGTAGCATACCTCATAAAGCTGTACTATGGATTTAATAGATGAATACTTGTGAAGAGCTAGAGTCAAGCTGTCACAATGGCACTACCTATACAATCCTAGCTACTTAAGAGGCTAAGTCTAGAGGATTGTGAGTTTAAGGCCAGCCTGTGCAACATGGCATGACCACGTTTAATTAAAGGCCCAGAGCCAAGCCTGACACTCAGCTGTACCCTCTAACTCCTGATTTCTAGGCCCCACCTTCCCATCCCCTGAAAAGACTCCACCCTAGAACATCTTGAAATCCTTTTCTAATGATGTCACCCTCAATCCCCTTCTTGACTTCTCCCTGCAGAATTCTCTTCTGGCCTGTGAGTTTCTTCTCCAGAACGGGGCAAATGTGAACCAAGCAGACAGTGCAGGCCGGGGCCCACTCCACCATGCAACAATTCTTGGCCACACCGGGTAGGGGTAGCAGGGATGAGGGCCACACGCCGGAGGCTCTAGAGGGAGTGAAGTCTGGGAAGGTGCGCTGAACATGGTTTCCCCCTCCAGGCTCGCCTGCCTGTTCCTGAAAAGGGGAGCCGATCTGGGGGCTCGAGACTCTGAAGGCAGAGACCCTCTGACTATCGCCATGGAAACAGCCAACGCTGACATCGTCACCCTGTGAGAAAGCTGGAAGGGTGTGGCTGGCGCTTAGACTAGCTTTGTGGGGTGGGGCTGATGCTGAGTTCACCGTTCGCCTGGTATTGGGGCCGAGGGAGGAGTGGGGCCAAATTCCGGACCAGGCAGAGGACCACATTCTCATTGTGGATTGGTGGGTAGAGTAGGAAGGCTGGCTGACAGGGTCGAGGATGAGTGCTCATCCTGAGAGTCGAATTCCAACTTACTGCTGACAAGTATCTTTTCAAACACCAGACACTGGGGAGAAAGGTGAATGAAACACAAAGGATGGAGAGTGGAACTGGGAGTGGGGGGCGAGAATGTCATTTATTCCTTCGTTCTCTTTCCTTCAGGCTACGATTGGCAAAGATGAGGGAAGCTGAAGCGGCCCAGGGTCAGGCAGGTAAAGTATTCACCCATTCCACTTCCCCAGGCCCGATACCGAAATTCTGGGCTTTTGTCCCTCTCGTGCCCAACTGCATAATTCCATTATTTATTCAACAAATATATATTGAGAGGATCCGACGAGCCAGGTCCTTGAAACAAGGAATAGCTCAGGGCTCACGAGTTCCTCGTCCACCCATGCTTCCCGTGCCAGGCCGCCCTACTGCTTCCTCGCTAGGGCTCAGCTGTCCAGCCCCAGCCTTTCCTCCCTCCCCTTCAGGAGATGAGACCTATCTCGACATCTTCCGCGACTTCTCCCTCATGGCGTCGGATGACCCCGAGAAGCTGAGCCGGCGTAGTCACGACCTCCACACGCTTTGATCCCAGGCCCTGGGGGCCCCCGCACCCCAGCCCCTCCTCTCCCCACTGCCGACCCCTTCGCCATTAAAGCCTGTGTTTTGCTTTTCCCTTCGAAGTTCACATTGTTGGCACCACCTTCGGGCCGGCAGGGTGCGGTGCTGGGGCTTCCGGGATGCAGGAAGCGGTGGGGCGCTTTTCTAGCTCGAGTCCCGGGGGAGGCGGCTCCCTGGGGAGCGCAGTGGCAGCGCCCGGAGGCCGGGGGAGGGCTCTCAGACTCGGGAGACGAGGCCAGACCCGTCCAGCAGGGC